GTAGATTTTGTTGTGTGATATGATATGAACTGTACCGTAGCGAGTGTCTTTTCGGGCTCTTCAAAATCGAAACCAGCTGTTCGAAGATTTTGTGCACCCATCCATCACCACCGTTCGATGTTCCAGTTGGCACACCTGCGTACGTCCGTTCATTTTCCCCCTCCTCACTTCACCTCGCGCCATGAGATACTCTTCCAGCAGTGTCCCAACAGCTGCGCTGGTGAGATCCCAGGTGTGCTCTGGTGCAGCTTGGTGAAGTATTGAAGAAATGGATTAGTGAAAGTTTCAGAACGGTGAACGACAAAGGACAGTGGAGAGCGAGCACTGAATGAACTGTGGCAGCTATTTGTTGCTGATAGGCGAATGGAAAACAAAGAATAAGCGCTGCAGCGCGTTCGTAAAAACACCAGGCGATGCCAACCAACACTTTCACCACACTCATATTTCATCATCCTGCTCCACTGTCTCCAGCTTTCATAACTCCCCTGCAATGCACCACGTCCCGATTCGCGGCTTTAGGATTCCCGTAAATGACGTGGCCTCGTTTCCGTCACAAGCGCCTGTCGGGAGAGATTTGCTCTAAACCCTTGTTTGGGGATTCGTTGTTGCACACGTGGCTACCATTTGCTCGAGTGGTTCTCAAATTCAGTGAGAATTGCTCGAGTGGCCTCGCCAGGGTATTCTCAACGTCTTTTTTTAAGAATGAACATTACTCTTCAGGGGTATCTATCCTCAAAACATCTGTATCGGTTATTGCGCGATCTTTTATATCCGAAATTTATGTTCATGACCCTATATGACCGCGCCTGATTGGACGCTCATATAATCGACCAATCCTGCGCGGCCATTAATGGTCGCGCGCATCATATTTTAATGCCCGATCATATATTTCCGCAGTTATAAACTGCAATGCCCTTAATGACCGCGCATGATTGGTCAATTATATGCACGGTGCCTTTTTTTGAATTGCGCGTCCAATCAGGCGCGGTCATATAGGGTCACGAACATAGATTTTGGGTACTGAAGATCGCGCAGTAACCAGTACAGAAGTTTCAGGGATAGAAACCCGTGTAGGGTAATGTGACGGGTTAAAAAAAGCCAGTGGGAATCCACTGGCAAGGCCACTCGAGCAATTATCACTGAATTTGAGAACCACGCGAGCAAATGGTAGCCACGTGGGCAACGCTGAATCTCCAAACAAGGGTTGGAAGCAATTCTCTCGCCTGTCGGCATGATCAATGCGCAGTGCAACATTCCATGTGCGACCTGTGGCGACTTCGCGAACGCTTGAGTGAATTGAGTGCACGTAAGTTCGATAGCTCAGCTTCATGGCACCTTCCAGCCAGGCCTTGATAAGCGCAGTCTATATAGTTCCAGTCAACTCAGAGGATTTTAAATGTGCATCATTACTCGCGCACCCGTTCCATCCGACTCCAAGCTAACATTTCTGAATCGCGATCCAGCCGAGCTTTCGTCAAAGTGCCACCCTAATCGTCGCGAGCATCTCCAGCCATGGCTGACTCAAATGAGCCGTACGTGGTGGTGGGAAGCCAGTACTGCGTGCCGGAAGAGACGGTGCTTAAACTGAAGGAGAAGATGTGGTCGCTGCGTGAGAAGGCCGAGATCCGCGACGGTCAGGAACAACTGGTGTTCAAAACTGAGGATAAGTACGTGCCACGTTCCAAGTCTCCTCCCAGTGAGATTGATTTATCTACTACCTACTACGTTCCAAGTCTCCTCCCACTGATCCTCACTGCGTTTCCACTCCTTTTCACCAACTTGTGGCAGGGCATGGGACATCAAGGAGCGCAAAACCATTTACAACGCCCAGGATGAGCCTGTTTGCTCTATGGTCAGCAAGTTGTTCTCTATCAGCGACACCACATACCTCTGCGCTGGCGCCGACCCGGATCCCGACCACGCGCTACTCACCGCCAAGAAAGTCATCCTCACCTGGTCACCCATTCTCAATGTGAGTTTCTAACACATTTGTTTCATAGCTAGTAACATGTAAGTGATCAGCATGGAAGGTGATTGGGGGGTTGTTGCAACTAGGTACATTGTACCCTGGCCTGAAGTGAGAGTTCATTTTTGTAAACACGACCTACATTGCAACTAGGTACATTGTATCCTCAGAATTGTTTTGTTTTCCTTCCTATTCCATGCAATTGTGACTGCTGACTTATGCTCAGGTTTTCCTGAAAGGGAACACGTCAACTGATAATCCTGACATCATTCTCAAGGGCGATTTTGTTCAGTACGACTTCAACGTATGTCCTTCCATTGTCTATCTTCTCAATTATTCCGTATCACCTGAAAACACTGTGTTTGTCTGTCTAGATTTCTGAGCTGAGTTCTTGACATGTGTCCTTGCATCCTCACCTGCATCACTGACTTGCAAGAATGTTCGTCCGTGCTCTGTTTACCAGCATTTGGGAGTAAAACCCCTTCAAAAAGTTGGCCTTCTGCAAAAAAAAAACACCATTGGGCTTGACATGAACCACATTTGCGATAATTTTTCATTTTTTTCTCACTTTCCTTACCTCCGCATGCAGATTACCACCTCCAGCGGCCGTATTTTGGCAAAGGTGGACCGTAAGTTTGATGCTGCAGGTGCTTTCTTGGCGGCTCAGACATACGTGGTGCATATCAAGCCCAATGTAGACAGGGCTCTGATTATGGGCCTTGTTGCTATGGCTGACAATATATTTGTCAACAAAGTAGACGACTAGAATATGACTGCTTTGTTTGAGTAGTCCGTATTCCTTTGTCAAAGCTCACCTGCTATGAATTTCTGCTATCAATGTACGGTAGGTATGGCTGTACACAACGTTTTCTTCGTTTTGTACACAATATTGGCTCTGTAAGAGTTGACACAATGCAATTACTTCTCATTGGGTTTATCTCACAAGTTACTGATCCAGTGTTATAGGGAAATGATCATAGTGGGGCCCCAGAGCTCTAGAAAAGTTGACAACTTGAGGCCTTGTATGTCGCAAGAACTCGAAACTGGGCTGGGCCTGTGCCCAACAAACCTGACCACACGCTCATCCACACGCTCATCCATGAACTCGAGCCTCATCCACGCGCTCTGTCAGACCTGACCACACAAGAGGACGATTTCGTCCTTGACCACTAAGGAGCCTCGGCCCTAAACATCTTGTCGCACAGTGTTTAGGGTTGATGCTTCCCCAAATATATGCCATCCGAATGGGGTTTATATTTTGTACCATAGCGATGTTGTTTTTTTCTGGGTTAAACGATTGTTTTCTTGGGTAATTTACGATGACGAGTCACTAGCAAATCCCGTCAGCCACAGGCCAGTAGGTGGTGACCTGGCGAAAAGGCCAGGCTCGGCCTACCTGCCTAGGCGTGCTGGTTGCTTTGGGATGATATACCTCAGCCGACGAAAACAGCCGCCCAATTTCGCGGTTGCGATAGGACAACGAACCCCCTCGGGATTGACGAGCTCTTGACGACTTGCAAGTGGCAAACTGGGGCGACCTGGCAGTCCTCTGGGGCTCTGAACCCCTCGGGATTGTCGACTATCTGACGACCTCGGGTTTCGCTGAGAGAAACCCGAGAAGGATACCTCAGCGGACCCTGAATCACAGCTCGACACGTTGTGCGCCGAGCCGCGATTACGGCCACATGGCCTAGTAGGGACGGCCGAGATCGAGCCTGACAATCGGGAGGTGCCACGACGGCGCCGACGTGGCCCCGCTTCGCACCACCGGGTATATTTCGCTGCGCGCGAAACTTGGCGCGCCGATGAAAAATGTAACCATCGTCCACGCGGCGAAAGACGACTGGCATGTGTCCACCACCTAGATAGCCAGAGAACGCGGGGTATTGAGATGTCGGTGTCGCCCGAAGATCCAACCGCAGCAGCACGACCCACGCGGATGGTTCTATGCGGACCAAACAATGCATAGGCGAAGAGAGCCCCAGACTCAGGGAATGTCGGCGTCGACCAACCCTCCGGCCACGCGCCTACTCGCAGGTCGATGAGGTTTGCGCGGGAGAGCAGGACGCTACGGCATTTCGGGGGAGTGGAACTAGGTGATTGGCCTATTGCACGTGGCGCACATAAATTCCACCGTGGCAAGCACCGGCTGGAGTGCCGTTGAGCGCAGAGCGGCGTGACAGTAGACATGCATCGATCGTGACACGTCATGCACGTGCACTGCGGCGCTTGCAAAGAGGGCTGCGTGGAGCGCGGCAGGTGCAAAATGGCCCGCAACCATACCCCTCTTTGACCACGCACAACGCTCTCATTCTGCCTGTTCAGCTTCGTGTTTCTCTCATGCTCCTGTGCGCCATCTGGCATTTCGTTTTCTTTACAGGACCCTCGCTATCTCTGCGGGTCTAGGTTACTCGACGGCCGAGTCGATCCAGCTGCGGCACTCAGGCGTCGACCTGGAATAGACTTACGTCGGCACTAAGGCGTCGACGTGAATCACTTCCGTCTCTGGTTTACCAATCTTTCCCTCTTCCACGGCCGGCGGTAGAGCATACGAGCGGACATGGACGACATCGACATGCCCGACGTTGGTACCCCAACCGACCACAGTCCGTCCTCTGCCCCCGTAGAGACGCTGAAGTTGCTTTACGATCTTGACAAACTGACTCAGATTCCCGAAGGGGAGTACACCAAGGACATACCGAATCCGCCAATGGGGGAGTTTACGAAGAAGTCGACACCGACGTCAGATGGGCAGCCAGGACCTTCGTCGGTGCCGGCCGGCTCGGAAAACCAAGGTGATGACGACGACGAGGACGAGGAAGAGAGCGACGACGAAGTCGACGACCGTCCTCCGCGTAGCACGAATCCGCGCACCTTGGAAGAACGCCTTAGGCGGGAATTTGAATACATACATGACATGCTCGAACAGGACGAGAAGGAGGACAATGAGCACATGCCGGTGCCGCGCGAAGGGTGGAAGGCGACGGACTTTGTAGTGGACGACATGGTGTACTCCAGCACCGACGTGCTCATAATGGACGCCCTACGACACCTACAATGCTTGGAGAAGGATAGCACGCTCAGGCTGTACACCGCGTTCATCTACCACTACAAGAAGTGGGCGGCGAAGATGCTGAAGCAGATACGCGACAAGCTACCCCATGAGCAACGACTTAGGCACGTCGACGAGATCGGCCACTACATCCGCGACAACAAGAAAAATGATTGGTGCAACGAGAAAGTGGTCCGCCGACAGTACATCTGGCTGCAAGGCCCTAGGGTCACCGAAACCCGGCTGCGCGCCTACGTGAAGCAAATGAGCCGTGAGTGTAGCCTCATTGTTGACCAGCCCGGGGAGGAGAACAATGCCACGCGAACGGGGCCTGTGAGGTCGACAACTGTGCACACGATCCTCGGCCGCATAAAGGCATGCCAGATGGCGGCGAGGGTGGAGGCAACGCTGTACCGAGAGAAGGAGCTAGGCATCATGAGGGAGATCTCGGTGGTCAGATCGGAGGTGCGGTTCAACGTCCGCCACAAGAACGAGAGGGACATCAAGTAAGTTGGTCGACAACCTTATTCTATATCACTGTGCACTGTGAAGTCGATGCAGTCTAACTGATTTTCCCCGCCGATTTGCGTTCAGGAACTGCGCCGACCGTCGACGCGGCACCATCGGCGATACCTACACCGCCGAGCAGTTCCGCCAGATCATGATGAGGGTGCTGCCGACATGGGCGGCGGCGGCGTGGAACCCGCGGGCAACCACTCCGTCGCAAACGCTGTGGCGATTCCTGCTCGTCAAGGTGCCCACGCTACTCTCCCACCACTCTCTCCTGCGCGGCGCCAGCATCCGCGAGATCACGCTCCCCGACGTCTTCTTGTACCACCTGGCGAGCACCTCGGAGGTGAACCCGGATAGCCAGCCGGTCGTCATGGTGATCGCCGCGCGTAACTCGAAGACATCCAAGGATGCCCGTCTTCAGCAGAGCTACGCGGCGCGACACCTGGAAGCGGAGCTGTGCGCCGTCGGCGAGACCGGCCTGTGGCTGCACTTCATCCTCGACCAGATCGGTCAGTTCTCCGGCACCGACTTCCTTCCGCCGCTTGACACCACAGAACGCGAACGCTGGTACAAGAAGCATCTCTTCTTCGCCAGAAACGACAAGGAGCAGGAGGAGCTCCCCGCCGCCACCCACCAACGTTGGACTCGGCAGATGTGGACGACCAACAAGGTGTTCTGCAAAAGGAATGTGCACGTCGCCCGCGCCGGAGGTGCGCAGGAGCTAGCCATCGGAGGGACTCCGCGCGCGGAGATCGCGGAGCTGGGACACTGGGCTCTCGACAAGATGACGCGTGCATACATCACGGCCATTCCCGCTGGGGTGGTGATGTGGAAGGCCGGCTACTCGGGACTCAAGCAAGACTACTTCTTGGGGCGCAGCAGGGTCGAGCCCTCCGACAAACTCCTGGACCTGCTCGCCGCGCACATCTTCCCCGGAGTGGATGCTATGCTGCGCGATGTATGTCACGCGACGCCGACAATGTTTTTCAGTCGTCGTGGCCTAGTTGGCTGCCCAACTCCCTACTAACCCACGCCACTTTCCGACTTGCAGGCGGAGACGCGTGCCGTTAACGGGAGCGACGCCGATGCAGCCGCAGTGCACTTCTTGCGCACCCTCGTGATGTTCCGACGCATCGTCGCCGAGGACCTCGCGGTGAAGCTCGTCCGCACACCGTGGCACCCGTACGTCCAAGGTTCCGAGATCTGCAGGATTGCCCTCTTCCAGCACTGGGCGAAAAGGGTCGAGTCGGTCGACACCGATACGATCAAAAAGCGCCGGGACCCGACTCAGATTCAGCTAGAGGTGAGTCGCCGACCATGTCGGCGTCGTTGAATTTTAGCCGGTGAATTCTAACCTCTTGTCGCCTTTCCGCACACTCAACATTGCAGGAAATATCCGTCCGCATGGACACCCAGTATCACAACATGTCCCTCAAGGAGGTGCTGAAGAAGGAGGTCGAGCGCTCGGCGCGCAAGAAGCTAGGCCTGCAGGAGACGATCGAGATGCAAAACGACACCATCGCGTCGCTCACCGCCGAGCTTGCTCGAGTCACCGAGGCACTCCGTGTGTTAGAAGCCCGGAGGATGCCGGCGGCGCCGCCGTCGGCGACCGATCAAACTCCGGGCGAGGGTGGCTCCGCGGATTCGGCCAACACGGGGACCGGAGCCAAGAGAGATGATGGGAAACCCCCGCCACCCCCCTAGACGGCAGAGGAGGCCAGTTACGAGCTCAACGTGGTGCAACCTTGGCGAGATTCAAAGACCGTGCGGGACGCTTGGCGCCTCTGGAACTCCGCCATCGCCAATGACACCCGTCGTCTATGCGACAGGGTCGCCGAGCCGGGGTTCATCGACCGCCACACCCTCCTCAAAGGCGCGACCCAGGGTGCACTCAACATGAGGGTGCGCCGCATGCTGAAGGCCATGGATGCGGTGCGCCAGCTACGCGCGAGCGACGGCGATGCCGACACCGAAGCCGTGGTCGATGCACTGAACACGATCGCGGCACCGGGCATTGGGACCTTCTACGATGCCCTCACGGTGCTCAACCCGGAGACGGCATCGACGATGTCCAAGGAGCCTGGCATGGGCGTCAAGGGGCTTGCCCCCAAGGTGGTCTCGAAGCTACGCCTCGCCTGTGCGCTGGTGGCGCTCGAGCTGAAGCCGACGACGTGGGTCGACCGCCTGTTTCCAGACACCTGGGAGGAGCAGATGCCGAAGACCGTGGCCGACTTGGCCAAGCAGACCGCACTTGCGCAGCGTCCTCGGTCAAAGCGCAAGAAGTCGGCATGAACATCCTCGGTGCATATGTGTTAGCGTAGGTTGATGATGCCCTAATTTAGCAAACCGTTGTGATCCCATCGTACTTCTTGACGGTGATGCAACACGAACATACATGATCCAACACATACATCCGAACCAGATATGTCGGACTCCGACATAGTCGCCAGCATGTGTGTGAAATTCATTGTGCCTTTTTCATGTCGACATCGCTGACTGCATGCAAACGGCGCAAACGACGTCGATCACGCTATAACCGAGCAATCATACCACCTAGCGCTCCCACCGCGCGCCGACTACGCATCAGTGCTGTCCATGCCCGCTCGATATGCGCGTCAAACGGCACATCGATGCCGACCTCCTAGAGTTTCAGCCACATGGGCGGCGCGGCACATTCACCAAAGCGCCGACCATAGACCATCTCGGTCTAGCTGATGAGGCTCATCGCCGAGAATATACATACATACAGCCAGACGCACTTTGTCGACACCGTACGACGCCGAGTTGTTATACGCCGACGGGGTGGATCGAACCGGGCCCGCATTTGAGTAACATGGTAGAGATCAGGTCGACCTTGCCGAGGTGTGTTCTAGTAACATGCACTACCAAAAAGTTACAGCCAACAAAAGAAATACGCAACCACAACCGAAAAGAAATCCCAACGAAAAATATACAATCAAACGAAAAAAAATCCGAACAAAAACTACACAATCGACGCCGCCAATACCAGGCCATCCTAGCAAGAAGACCTACTTGCGCTCCCTCCTGCTGCCCATGGCAGATTGTTATGCCGACTACGCCGCCGTGCTGTCCTTGCCCGCTCTGCCCTTCCTCCCCTTCTTCCCCGAGCTGTCCTTGCCCTGCTTGCCCCTCTGCCTCTTCCTCCCCCTGTGTTCGATATCGTACTCCATCTGCGCGTCAAGCGGCACCACGATGCCGATCTTCCTGAGTTTCGGACCATCCACGGGGCACATTCCCCAGAACGCGAGGGTTTCCACCGTCGCGCGTGCGATTAGTTTGGCCTCGGCATCAACATCCAACCCCGGATAGGCTTTGGCCAGAGCGGTGGACTCCAGCGCCGGTGCGACGTTGTGCGCAACCTCCCCGAGGGGTTGCTGCCTGCTGATCGCGGCCTCCAGCACCGCCGTCATGACCTTCTTGAACTCGGCGGCGGTAGTCTCGCTCGCGCCGACCAACATCGCCGCCGCCTTCCCTTCGCGCACGGCATCAGCCACCTGGGTGCCGTCGCCCTCGACTAAGCACCAAAGGGCGCAAGCGGAGGCCGACAGCGCCTGTGCGACCTTCGCCGTCGTCTGATCCGTGTCGCCCTCCATTCTCGCCGCGGATGCAGCGACCTTCCCATACACCGCGCACAAGGACACGCGGTCAATTATGGCTGACATCATTGCATCCGACTTCTACTTCCCTTCCTTCTTGTCGGCATCGACGGGGAACTAGATCGCGGGCAAAAGCGCGTCATGGTGCGCATCGCCTGATGTCTTGTACGCTCGATACTTCCCGAGGATATCATCGAACCTGTCACGCAATCACACGAAACCGGCCGTTAGGAACGCCGACGTCGACATCATCGCTTGGCCGACGTTTATCCGACTTACCGTGTCTTTGGGAGGAACGCGCCCCGTGCCTTAATCTCGCCCACCCACCCTTGCTTGTCGCCCGTGGTGTCGTGGCGGATGCCATGACCCTTCCGTTCTTTCATCTTCACCTTCTCCTCCTCCCTCGCCGCCTCCTCCTCCTCCACCTCCGCCTCTTCCACCTTCTCCTCCTCCTTCTCCTTCTCCTCCTTCTCCTCCTCCTCCTCCTCCTCCTTCTTCTCCTCCTTCTCCTCCTCCTTCTCCTTCTCCTTCTCCTTCTCCTTCTCCTTCTCCTTCTCCTTCTCCTCCTTCTCCTTCTCCTTCTCCTCCTTCTCCTCCTCCTTCTCCTTCTCCTTCTCCTTCTCCTCCTTCTCCTTCTCCTTCTCCTCCATCTCCTCCTCCTTCTCCTTCCCTGTCTCCGCTGCCTTCTCCTTCACCATCGCCGTCGCCATCCCCTGTCCTTTCTCCACCGACTTCACCATCGCCGACGTCACCCATGTTTTCTTCTTCGAGCTTGGCCTCGCTTTCCCTGCGTCGACCGTCCCCTTCCGTTTCGACTTTCCCGCGCTGACCGCAGCAGTGGTCGTCAAAGGCTCCGCTGTACAACCGGTGGGACTCGCCGAGTCCAAGATGGCCAGCACAGGGGGCTGCTTGGGGCGGTTTACCGCTTCCAACAGGTCCTGGATGGCAGCGATATCGGCGTCGTTGTGGTCCTTCGCCGCCTGTGCAGGGTCAACTGATCCGCCGCCCGTGGCTAGCGCTGCACTCACGCCCTTCTCCGCCACCGCTTCGACAGTAGCCGCACCGAGTGTGTGTGCAGCTACGGTCACCGACGTCGGCGTCGCGCATGAGCTGGATACCGGCTGAGCCCGTGCTGGCGCTGCCGCAGTACGTGCGCCTAACCGGGCGCGAAGCAACGCGGACTTTGGGTCCACAGGAGGACGGGCGGCGATGATAGGCGCGGTAGGTGGGGCACTGGACGTTGTGGCGGCGACCTGGGGAGTGACCGAGCGACGTGCTGTTGTGGCCGGCGCGGTACCGACCACGGGAGGCTGCTGCACGTCCTGTCGATGGGTCTCCATGCGGCTGGGCATCTCCCTGAGCGCGTTCGCCTTTGGGGCGGACGGACCAGCGCGGTTAGCCGCAGCATTCACCGCGTCAACCTTGGCGGCAGACGTGCCTGCTGGTGCTGGAGTAGCCGCAAGGGACGGCCCATCGTTGTTGGCGGCTGACGGGGCGACCGGCGCGCTGCTAGCCGCAGGGGGTTTGCTGGGGATCGACGTGGTCCCCGCCACTCCGCCGAACGGTCCCTTGACGGTTTTGGCGCCGCCATCTATCGCCGATGGTGCGGTCGCTAGACTAGCCGTCTTCTCGGCGACCAATGGCGGGGCTGTTGGTCCAGCCTCTTGAGCGACAACCTGGTCGGCAGGGCCCCCCTCTGCACTCCTGATTCCATCGCCCTTGCTGTGCATCCTTATCACCTTGGCCCCGTTCTTCTTGAGCTGGTCGACCATGCTCGTACCTCCGCTCCCATCGGCTCCCTTGCTCCGCGAGCCGCCTGGACCCACCTGGTCGACGCCGCGGCTCCCATCAGCTCCCTTGCTCCGCTTCGAGCTCAATGCATCATCTCCGCCGCCCGCCCTTTTCGCACCCTTCGTGTCGGCCTCGTTGTCCGACGGTGACGACCCATGCCGACCAGGCGCCAGATGGCCGATCACCTGGGTCATGAGGTTTAACCCGGACGCAACAAACGACTGTTGGGTGGCCTCAGTCACCGCCTTCAACACGTCTGCCTTGAAAGACTTCATCAGCTCGTCCGGGAAGGCTGGCGGTGGGGCGGGCGGCGTGGGCGGCGGGACGGCGACGCGTTGAGTTACCGCGGCGGCGATGTTGGTTTGCGCGGCGACTAGGTGCTTCGATATGTATTCCTCCAATCCCTTCCTCGCTTCGTCCACGTGGTTGCCCATGGCAACGACCGCGTTCGCACGTTGCACCGCCATAAACCCCTCCGGATTCTCTAGATCCTCCAACCAGCTCTCCGCCCTCTTGGCGTACGCCTTCATCGCATCCCATGTTTCACCCATGTTGGCGGTGATGTTCTCCGTCACGGTCGTCGCCATGGTCAAGGACGCGTCCATCAGCCGACTCGACGCGTCCTGGTCGGAGGCAGCGACCTGGTCGGCCAACGACCTGAGCTTGTCCACGAGGCGGCCAATCCCCATCGCAAACCTGTCCTCCCGACCCCTCTCCACTCTTAGCGCCATCTCGAGACGAGCATTTTCAGCCCTCAACCACATGTTCTCCTGTCGCAGCTGCGCGACGACGGTCGGCGTTGCCTGCCGACCAGCTGCTGAGGATCCCGGTTGACGGCCCGCCTCTACCGCTCCACCCCGGGGTTCCACCCCTGCGTTCCCTGTGGTGGTCTCCACGCCTGTCGGCGTCAGGGCGGCGGCGTTATCCTCCTCCTTTGCATCGCCAACCACATTGCCGACCACGTGCGCCTCCTCCATGCCGACATTCTCCACATCGGCACCCTCCCCTCGCACGTACACAACATCCGCCGACATCCCACCCGTTCCCTCCACGGCTGCCGCCGCTCCCTCCACGGCCACCGCCGCCGCTCCCTCAACATCCTCCATCTCGAATTCGACCCAGGGGAACTCTACCTCCTCCTCCCCCTCTTGCTGCTTCTCCCCCTCCGCCACCTGCTCCACCGACCCGAAACCCTGCTCCACGGCCTCCGCCGCCGCCGCCTCCTTGTCCTCCTCCTCCTCATCCTCCTCCTCTTCCTCCTCCTCCTCCTCCTCCTCCTCCTCCTCCTCCTCCTCCTCCTCCTCCTCCTCCTCCTCCTCCTCCTCCTCCTCCTCCTGCCCATGCCCCTGCTCACGCTCCTCACGATCCTCCTCGTTATCATCCTGATCGTCGGTGTCATCCTCCTCCTCTTCCTGATCTGCGGTCCTCGCCACAGCCCTTTCTGCCTCTTCATCTGCCTTGTCGACGCCGTCTCCGGCCTCTCCGCTGGTGTCGGCGACACCGACTGTTTGGGATGCCGAAGGGGACTCCGCGGCGTCGTCGTCACAGGCATCGGCAGCAACTCCGACATGGCCTGACCGTTTGCGTGCGACGTGTTCCTTGATGTATGTGATCATCCGAATCCGCAGCTCCTTCAACCCTGAAACGAGGACCTTGTCCATGCTGGTCGCACTGCGACGGTCGTCGCCGGTCAGGCGATCCATCCTGTTCACCACCCACCACAGCGCGCTCATTGATAGGAGGCCAGAGCCTGCGTCGCTGTCCCGGACGGTGTCGCGCATTTTCTGCAAACAACAGAGCAGAGAGCAAGGATGAGCACCGACGGCGGCAATTGCATCGCTCTAGGACGGTAAAACGATCGGTACTCACATCTCGAACGGGTTCATCGCAGTCGGCGAGCCTGTCCGCCACCTCTTCAGCAGAAGGCTTCGGCCACTCCCACTGCCGACCATCGCGGCCGAGCTCGGCCAGCACCGCCGCCCGGAAAAACCTGAAGCAACATGGCACATATCGTCAGTAGACTTGCTTAATGCCTAGCGGCGAAATTGCATGCGTCGTCGACTACACTATCGAGCTCACTTCAGCACGCGGATCGCCTCGTCGCGGTGCCACTGTTTCACAGTTTGCGGGTCAAATTGCCGGACAAAGGTCCTGATCGTCTCCCCCCCGGCCCGCAACAAGTCGCCGGGGTACAGGATGACCACGACGCTGCAATGTGCCCCTGGAAGCGGTGCGATGCTGCACAGGCTAGGCACCACGACGTCGATCAGAACGGAGCAGCGACATAGGCATCATGGTACACCATCATGACTTAGGCTCACCTCGAATGCAGAGGGATAACAGCTACGTCGGCGTCGAACACCGTAGCAAAGCATGAGTGGTCTTCCTTGCCCATCGCCGCCCGAAGCCGGCCGAGTCCTATCGACCACAATCGCATGTTGGCCGGCGCCGCGCGAATTCATGCGTACCTGCACGCATGCATGGGTAGTAGATGTGTTTGAGGACGTGCACGGCACGACGGATGGACACGTGGGTTCTGGAACCGACAACTGACGGGGATGGCGATAGTAGAACGGTGCACCACCGTCGCTACGTTGTAATCAATGGCGCCTACCGATGCGGGCACCGACCTACTGTAGTGATCGGAGTCCGGTGCCGACCTACGGCTGTGTGCGTCACCGAGTAGTGATCTAAACCCTAAACTAGTAGCGCCGACCAAAACGTGGGACAACCCTAACAACAACGACCTGCAAGGTATCCAGCGGTCGACGTCGATATCCCAATACGGACACTCACTTGAGGCCGAATCCCAAGAAACGGGCGTTGAACTCTAGCCTATGGTCTACGAGGATGGCGTAGTCGTGTTCGTCGAGCTTGGCAGTGAGTCCACTACCCAGGTCGAGATACAGAGGGAAGTCCTGCGAAGTCGGCGTCACTTCGCCGAGTTTCGGGGCGGCTGACGTGGCGGGGAAGGGAAGCGGCTACAAGCTAAGGGACGTGAATGTGGGAGAAGGCATAGAGCTGGGGAAAAGGTGGAAAGGGAAACGAGATGCCGAAAATGAGGAGCGGTGCCCCCTTCCACCAAGAAAAGGGGGTCGGTGCCCCACAGGAACGGTCGAGGCATCGCCCGGCCCTCGTGGTGCCTGCCTCGGCGGGGTTTGGCGGGGTCGTGCACAAGTGGCACAAGTTCTCATTCGCCGCCGAGCCAGCAAGTCGATATCACGTCCCGAAGCGAAAAATGTGCGCCGCGAATCGATCGAAATCGAATTCGCAATGTCCCGAATTGAATTCACAATGTACCAAATTCTGCATGTTGCCCGAAGCGAAGTAGGCGGGCGAACACGTGGCGTCACCGCAACGGGTCGCGAAGTTGTCGAGTGTCCCGAGGGGGCCCCGACTTTTCGCCTGGCTCTCGCCTGCCCGTCCGGGCAGGCCGCGATGGGTTACTAGGACCTCACGAGAAGGTGGCACGTGTGGGCTGCCTTCGCGCGAGGGTAATTTTCCCACGCGCGAGCTGTCGCCAGTTCGCTGACCCCACCCGGCAACGTGGGCCGCTGTTCACATTCGGAGCGGGGCTGCGGGGCAGCGATCGTGCGCTCGGCCCAGCCCTGGGCCAGGCTGGCAGGCCCGCACGCGCGTCAGTGCTCCGCCGCGTCAGCCCAGGCTTTGACGACCCCCCTCGACGACACTGGCAAATCGGCTCCGTCGACCGAGTTCGGCTGGGGTGTTCGGGATGATATACCTCAGCCGATGAAAACAGCCGCCCAATTTCGCCGTTGCGATAGGACAACGAACCCCCTCGGGATTGACGAGCTCCTGACGACCTCCGAGTGGCAAACTGGGGTGACCTGGCAGTCCTCCGGGGCCCTGAACCCCTCGGGATTGTCGACAATCCGACGACATAGGTTTGCCTTGGGATATTCCTGAGAAGTAAATCTCAGCGGACAAAACAGGAAAGCTCGCCACGTCGAGACGCGAGGGTCGCCACGCGGACCAATAAGGAAGAGCCAGATCGTCCCCACCGTGTACTAGGCTGCCACGCGGCGCAAATCGGACCGTCCAGGGTGTAAATGTTCTGTGGCATCGCGAGTCAAGGCAAGCAATGTCGGTGTCGACAATTTCATCCAAAGGGCCACAACCAAGGCACGCGGCACAATCTCAACACTGTAACACACGCCCATTCCACCGTGGAAAGACCCAGGCCTACGCCCCTTCGTTGCAGCGCTGCGTCACATTAGCCATGCTTGGCACGTGGCACGTCGGCCAGTGCGCCGCCTTTACGAGATCACATGCATGGCGGCAGCAGCATAGGGGTGTGCGTGAAGCGCGGCAGCATCGGAGTCGCTCAGGACCATACCCGTCCGTGACCTTGCGGGCCTGCTCATTCCCACGTCCGTTCCTGCGTTTCTTCCTGCTCTCTCTTGCACTTCGAATTTTCAGCTGCCAGTCTGTCATCGCGCCTGAAGGCTACTCGGTTGCCGACTTGGTCAGTAGTCATCGACGTCGACGTCTGCTGATTTAGCTAAACATCGGTGCATGCTCCTAACGTCCCCGCCGACGTAGCAAGTCGGCGACGCATGGCCAGAGGTCGGCCTAGAGCCCGACAGCCGCAACCCATTCCACCCCCCGCCGACTCTGTAGACGCCGACATCAAAGCGGAGCTGGAACGGCTCGAGGTCGAAGCCGAGTTAGGGTTACTTGAACGAGAATTCCAAGAGGACCGCCGCGCGAATCAGTTCCCTCTCCGGTTTACCGCCCTCCGCATCGCACACGGACGACGATAGAGCAACATACGTGCTGCCACATGGCCGACGTCGACATGACTGACGCTAGACCATCCGCCGACCACAGTCCGACATCTACCGAGGAAGAGACGCTCCCCTTACTCTACGATCTTGACAGGCTGACGCAGATTCCAGAAGGGGAGTTCACCAAGGACATTCCCCCACCGCCGGTCGGGGAGTTTAAGAAGAACAAAAAACAGAATCCGACGCGAACTTGACGGCCTGGAACTTCGTCGGCACCGGCCGGCCCTGGAAACCAGGTTGATGTCGATGAGGAGGAGGATGGGGGGGAGGAGGAGGAGGAAAGCGATGACGAAAACGACGAGCGTCCGCCGCGTAGCACTAGTCAGCGCACCTTGGAAGAACGGCTCAGGCGGGAACTTGAATACATAGATGATCTGCTCGAACAGGATGAGGATACAGACCAGGAGAATTTGTCAGTGCCGCGCGAACAGTGGAGGGCGGCAGACTTCGTCGCGGAAGACATGGTGTACGAGACCATCGATGTGCTCGTCTTGGACGCACTACGCCACCCGCAAACCGTGGCGAGGAACAGCACGCTGAGGCAGTACACCTCGTGGATCTATCACTACAAGAGGTGGGCGGCGAACATGTTGAGGCAAATTCGCAACAAGCTTCCGCATGAGTACAGGCTTAAGCACGTCGACGAGATAGGGCACTACATCCGGGACAACAAGAAGAAAAACTGGGACCAAGAGGCCGATGTCCCCCGGTCGTACGTGTGGCTGCACGGCCCTAGGGTCACCCAGTCCCGGCTTCGCGCATACGTGAAGTACATGGTTCGGGAGTTGAATCTCGATGCCGAGTCAACCAAGAAGGGCGACAACACCACAGGAACACAGCCTGTGAAATCTACAACGGTGCACACGCTCCTTGGGCGCATAAAGGCATGCCAGATGGCGGCGCGAGTGGAGGCGACGATATACCGGGAGACGGAGCTGAGCATCATGCGTGAGATATCGGTAGTCAGGTCGGAGGTGCGGTTCATGATCCGCACCAAGAACGAGCGGGACATCAAGTGAGTTTTTGTTTCTCTTGTTGTCTTGTACTGAGTCGACGCCGCCCTAATTGCCCCCCACCCTCGGCATTGTCGGCAGGAACTGCACCGATCGGCGTCGCGGAACAATCGGCGATACCTACACCGCCGAGCAGTTCTGCCAGATCATGTTCAGGGTGCTGCCGACGTGGGCGGCCAAGGCGTGGAACCCGCGGGGTACGGGCCCGTCGCAGACGCTATGGCGGTTTCTGCTGTTGAAGGTGCTCACGCTACTCTCCCACCACTCTCTTCTGCGCGGTGCAAGCATCCGCGAGATCACGCTCCCCGACATATTCTTGTACCGACTGGCGAGCACCTCGTCGGTGAACCCGGAGAACCAGCCGGTCGTCATGGTCATCGCTGCGCGGAACTCCAAGACGTCCAAGGATGCGCGTTTGCAGCAAAGCTACGCTGCGCGGCACCTCGAAGCGGAATTGTGCGCCGTCGGTGAGACGGGCCTGTGGTTGCACTTCATCCTCGACCAGATCGGCCAGTTTCACGGCGTCCGCCTCATTCTGCCGGTGGACACCAGCACACGCGCGAGCTGGTACAAGAAGCACCTCTTCTTCGCAAGAAACGACACCGACCAAGGGGAGCTCTCTGCGGCAACCCACCAACGCTGGACGCGGCAATTGTGGGACAAAAACGGGGTCTTCTGCAAGAGGAACGTGCACGCCGCTCGAGCCGGAGGGGCCCAGGAGCTGGCCATCGACGGCACGCCGCGCGCCGAGATCGCGGAGCTGGGTCACTGGGCGCTCGACAAGATGACGCGAGCGTACATCACCGCCATTCCGGTGGGGGTGGTGATGAAGAAGGCCGGTTACTCTGGTTACAAGCAGGACTACTTCTTGGGCCGGAGCAGGGTAGAGCCCTCCGATAAGCTCTTGAAGCTCCTCGCCGAGCACATCTTCCCCGGCGTCGACGACATGCTGAAGACGGTATGTTGGTCAAAGCCCTCGTATTCTTGGTTTCCGAGTCGTGTGGCCAATAGTGTCTGAACTCCTAATAAACGTGACAAATTGCAGGCGGAAGGGAAGGCTGTCGAGGGGTCCGACGCCGACAAAGCCGCGGTGCACTTCTGGCGCACACTCCAGATGTTGCGCCGCATCGTCGCCGAGGACCTAGCGGTGAAGCTGGTCCGCACACCATGGCACCCGTACGTCCAAGGCTCCTTGCTCTGGCGGATCCCCCTCTTCCAGCACTGGGCGAAACGGGTCGAAAGGGTCGACACCGAGACGATCAACAAGCGTCGGGACCCGACCCAAATTCAGGAAGAGGTAAGTCGACGACGAGCTGGCTGTAGGGCATTCCAAACCACCTCGCGGCTAACGTCTTTTTCTTACCGGTGCAGGAAATCTCTGTCCGCATGGACACCGAATACTACAACATGTCTCTCAAGGTGAAGCTGGCGAAGGAGATGGAGCGTGCCGCAAACGAGAAGATTGACTTCCTGGAGGAGCTCGAGAAGCGCGATGACACCATCGCGTCTCTCACCGCCGAGATAACCCGTCTCACCGAGGCACTCCGTGTGTCAGAAGCACGGAGAGTGCCGGAGGCCCCGCCGTGTGCTACCGCGCATGCTCCCAGCGAGGGTGGCTCGGCGGATTCGGCCAACATGGGAGCCGACGCCGACGGAGGGGACGACAAACCCCCGCCACCCCCACAGACGGACGAGGAGGCTAGTTACGAGCTCAACGTGGTACAACCGTGGCGGGAGGCCAAGACCGTGAGGGACGCCTGGCGCCTCTGGAACTCCGCCACCGCTAATGACACCCGTCGGCTTTGCGACAGGATGGCCGGGCCGGGGTTCATCGACCGCCACAACCCTCCTCGCCGACGCGACGCAGAGTGCACTCAACAAGAGGGTGCGCCGCATGCTGAAGGTCATGGATGCGGTGCGCCAGCTACGCGCGAGCGACGGCGACGCCGACACCGAGGCCGTGGTCGACACACTGCACAGGATCGCGGCATCGGGCATCGGGACCTTCGCCGATGCCCTCACGGTGCTCAAACCGGGAACGGCACCGATGTTGTCCAAAGAGCCTGGTTTGGGAGTCAAGGGGCTGGGCCCCAAGGTGGTCTCGAAGCTACGCCTCGCCTGTGCGCTTGTGGCGCTCAACTTGAAGCAGAGTGATTGGGTCGAAACCCTGTTTCCAGACACGTGGGAGGACCAGATGCCGAAGACCAAGGCCGACTTGGCCAAGCCGACGGCCCCGGCCAAGTCGACAGCACCGGCCAAGCCGACCGCTCCGGTGCACCGTCCTCCGACCAAGCGCAAGAAGTCGGCATGATCGCGCCTGTAGGATATGCGTGTGCGTAGTTCGATGCTGTTAACAGTGGCAGATTTGTACACCCCCCCCCCAAGCCCCCCCTCCACCCCCCCCCCACCCCCCCTTCCCTTGTTTTTCCAAATGCTGTTCTGGTAGTTTGTAACAACCCACTGCAACGCCCTTGCGAACCTACTGGGTCCCGCTGTGTTAAATGTAGTCGGTCGCTCAGTAAGAAACAAAAATAGTATCCTTGCTCACATCTAAGCACAGCTCGATGTCGACGTCTCGCAGGATTGCATGTCGATAGGGCGTCGACATATTCGCCGACATAACTCGTCGCGGAATAGCATGTGTCTACCCCGTCTATCATCGCTGCTCGCCGAGTAGGATGTTCCTTTTGATGTCGACATATGCGGCGACAAGGCGCATCGTTCAAAGTTGGCTAGCAAGTTTCAATGTGGACAGTGATTTACTATAAAACGGAAAAAGATTCGTGCCCTTCGATACAAAAGTCATTAGAATTACTACGCCATCGGCGCCAACCATACAATAGTGCCCTGCACACCACAGCCCGCCAACTACGCATCCGTACTGCCCATGCCCTGCTTGCTCTTCTTCCTCTTGCTGCTGCCCTTGCTCTGCTTGACCTTCTCCCCCTTCATCCCCCTGTGATCCATATCGTACTCCATCCTCGCGTCACACGGCACATCGATGCCCTGCGCTTTGAGCTTGGGCCCGGCGACGAGGCACATTCCCCAGAACGCCAAGGTCTCGACCGTCGCTCTTGCGATCATGTCGGCCTCGACTTCCTCAACTCCCTTCGCGAAGGCCCTGGCAACTGCCTGGCTCTGCAGCGATGGCGCGACGTTATGTGCAACGTCCCCAGCGGGAGCCTGCCTGCTGCGTGCTATGTCGATCACCGCGTGCATCACCTCCTTGAAGTCCTTGGCCCTCGCCTCCCTCGCACCTGCCACCATCGCCGCCGCCTTCCCTTCGCCCACAGCACCGAGCACCGACGCCCCCGTCTCCAAGAAGCACCAGATGGTGCATGCCGATGCCGCTAACGCCTGGGCCCCCATCTCCATCTTCTCGTCCACCTTCCCCTCCACGCTCGCATCGACCTTCCCAAACGCTGCGCTCGCCGCGACCTTCCCATACGCCGCGCACATCGACACGCGATTTACCATCGCCGACATGAGAGCGTTCGTCTCTTCCTTGCCTTCCTCCGTGTCCTCGATGATGGGGAACCAGATCGCCGGCCAGAGCACGTCATGAAGCGCAACACCCGAACTCGCGTACCCACGGTACCTGTCGAGTATATTGTCGAACCTGCCGCGCAAACACATTAAAACGACAGGACTTCAGCGTTTTGACACCAACTTGGTCGACAGAACTCGGCACGTCAGTATCCGTCTTACCTTGCTCTCGGATGGCACAAGCCTCTGGCCCACATCACTGTCCACATCCCAGTGGGCAAGAACTTCACCTCCGCCCACACCTCCTTCCATTTATCCAACTCCCCCGGGTTCAAGACGGTGAGCTCCTTCATGAGCACCTTGCTCATGTAGCCGTCGTAGACGACGAACGCAATCGCGTGCTCGTAGGCCAGCTCCATCTTCTCCCTCGACTTGCCGATGTACCGATTCTGTCCGTGTACCTTAATCTCGCCCACCCACCCTTGCCCGTCGCCAGCCTTGTCTCGGCGGATGCCATGACCCCTGCGTCCATGCTCTTTATCTCCCTCGCCGCCCTCCTCGTCCTCCTCCTCCGCCTTCTCCTTCTTCTTCGCCGGCTTACCCTTGCCGCCCGTTCTTGTCCTTCTCCCCTTCCGCCTTCTTTCCTTTCTCTTCCGACGTCAACTTCCCCGCAGTCATCGCCCGCGTGCTCCTCTGAGAGACCGCCTTCCTTTCCCGTTGTCGTCCTTTTCCTTCCGTCCAGCATTTATCTCGGCGACAGCAGCTGTCGCGGCCGTCTGCTCCGTCGAACCCCCTCCGTGGGTCGCCGACGGCACCACATGCGCCGTGTCCATTATGGCCATAACAGGGGCGTGCTCGGGGCGCTTTGCTGCCTCAAAATGGGCCATGACGACAGCGAGGTCGGCATGCTTGTCTGCGCGGCCGCCGGTGGCGAGCGCTGCACTCACTCCCTTCTCCGCCGCCACATCGACCACAGATGCACCTGGTGTGGGTGCGGTCGCGTTTACCGACGTCGGCGTCGCGCTTTTGCCGAGTTTTGGCAGGGTCACTGACGGAGCAGCCGCTTTGCGTGCGCCTAAATGGGCGCGAAGAAAATCGGACTTGGGGTCCGCAGGCGGTGGGGCGGCCACCGGAGGCGCGGCAGGTGGGGCACCGGACGACTTGCCGGCAACCTGCGTAGTGACGGAGCGGCGTGCTGTTCCAGGAAGGCCGGCGTCGACCGCGGGATGCTGCTGCACGTCCCTGCTATGTGCCTCCATGCGGCGGAGCATCTCTCTGAGCGCGGTACCACCGGGGGGGGCCTTAGCTGATGCCATGGCATCACCCTTAGCCGAAGCAACCTTCGCGACAACCTTGGCGGCAGTCGGGGTTGCTGGAGCTGGAGCAGCCTCCCCATCTTTGTTCGCACCTGACTGGCCGGCAGGCGCGCTGGTAGCCGCAAGGGGGTTACGGGGACTCGACTTGGTGGTGCCGGCAACCGTAGCAGAAGCAGGCTTGCCCGCCGCCGCGACGGACGGTCCCTTGGTGGTTCCGGAGTCACCATCATTCGCCGCCTGAGCAGTTGGCACCTCCTTGTCGGTAACGCCTTTCCCACCGCTCGCCTGAGGATGGGTCTGCTCGGCGACCAAAGGCGGGCCAGTCGGAGCAGCTAGGTTAGCGGCAACCCCGTCGGCAGGGCCACCCTTTGCTCCCCCGCTTCCGCCTCCCTTGCTGTGCGACGTCCTTACCACCTTCCACCCCGCCTTCGTCTTCAGCTGGTCGCTTTTTTGCGCAGGCTTCGACCCGAAACTACCGCCCGCTCCCTTGCTCCGCTTCGAGCTCCCCTTGTCGTCTCCGTCGCCCGTCCTCTTATGGCCCTGCTTCTCGGCCGTTTTTCTTTGCGCGTTATCGGCGTCATTGGCCGAAGGCGACGACCCACGTCGACCAAGCGCCACAGTGCCGATCATCTCTGTCATGATCTTCATCCCGGAAGCAACAAAAGACTGCTGGGTGGCCTCCGTCACCGCCTTCAGGATGTCGGCCTTGAACGACTTCAAAAGCTCTTCTGGGATGGCGGGCGGCGTGGGATGAGGCGGTGGCGGCGGCGGCACGGCGAGCCTGGCGGTCAAAGCTGGTGGCGATGTTGACCTGCGCGGAGGCAAGGTGGTTCGAGATGTACTCTTCCAACCCTTCTTCGCATCGCCCACCACCGAATCCACGTGTTCGGCCAAGGAGGAGACCGCTAACGCTCGTGCATACGCGACACGACCCTCCGGATTGTCGAAGTCCTCCAACCACTCCGTCGCATGTTCCGCGAATGTCTTCATCGACTTCCACGCTTCGTCAAAGCTGCCGGTGATGTTGCCCGTGATGGTCTTCGACATGGCCTCCGTCGCGTTTCGCAGCTGTTCCGCGGCATACTTGTCGTGTCGCCGACCTGCTCGGCCAACCCTTTAACGTGGTCGACGAGTCCACTAACCCCAACAAAAAAATTGTCCAGCCGGGACCGCTCCGCATCGAGCAACGACGCCAGCCGAGCGTTCTCCGCCCGCAACAACTAGTTCTCCCCTCGCAGCACCTCGACGTCGTCTAGTTCTGGGCCCTGCCGACAAGGTGCTTCCCCGGCCTCCTGCTCGCCCGTGTTGTTCGCCCCTTCGCCGGCGTCGACCGACACCTTCCCACCTCCCTCGCAGGCCGCCTCATCCTGGCCATTTCCTGTCGTTGCCTCCACGCCGACCTCGCCCTTCTCCTTCCCCACATCTGCCGACCTCGTAGCATTTCCCGCGTCGTCATCCTTCTCTTCCTCATTCCCCTGATCTGCCGACCCCACCGCCTCTTCCGCCTCTCCCGCCTCAACCGTACCCTCTACATACTCCACCACGAACTCCACCTCTTCATCCCCCCCCTCCTCATCCTTCCCTCCCTCCCACTTCTCACCATTCTCGTCCTTATTCTCCTCCTCCTCCTCCTCATACTCCTCATACTCCTCCTCGTCCTTACGCTTCACCGCCTCGTCTTCCTCCTCCGACTCCGACTCCGACTCCGACGACGACGACGACTTCTCCATTTCCAACCTTCCTGCACCTGCCTCTGCGTCGCCTCCTCCACCGTTTCCACCTTCCCCATGCACCCTCGCGTTCCCCTGATGCTGGGCGGCCACTGCACCTTGGGGCGCCTTCTGTCCTTCCGCGCCGTCGTCATCTATGGCACTGTCGGCGGGTCCGGCGGCTTGAGAAGTCGGCGTCGCGGTGCGTTTTACGGCAATGACCTTGCCGACGTACTCAACCATGCTGTCGCGCAAAGCCTTCATCCCCTTCATGCCGACGCTCTCGATGCTCACCCCACGACGACCCTTCTCGCCTGTCAGATGGTCGCTCTGTTTCGCTACCCACCCGAACGACGTCGCGGAAAGCACGCCGGCACCGACATGCCCGTCCGACACTGTGCCTGGCACTTTCTGCATACAAGCACGGAACATGATGAGCGGAGCGTTCAGAAACGGGCACCCCCCCTTGCGACTTGAACGTGCAACTCACATCGCGGATAGGGTGGTCGCAGTCGGCCAGCCTGACCTCCACCACTGCTTGTGATGGCGGCGCCCAGTCCCACATCCTACCGGGACGCCCCAGCTCGGCCAGGACAGCCGTGTGGAAGAACCTGAAGCACCGCGGTGGGGGGAGGCGGTCAGCGTGTGATACCCTGTGTCGCCGACTAACAAGCGGGTCATCGACGACAATTCAGCACTTACTTTAGCACGCGGGCGGCCTCGTCGCGGTGATACCCTTTACCGGTCTGCGGGTCGATGTGCCGGATTGAGGTCCTGCACACCTGTCCCTCAGCCTTCAACAGATCTCCAGGGTATAGGATGGCAATGACGCTGCAGTGCGTTCCTGGAAGCGCACCGAGGCTGCACATGCAATTCACGACGACGTCGATCACAACACCACGCGATGTCACAACACTAAAAAACGACAACTGATCAACGGTGAATCAGCTCATATCGTTCTTAACGGGATAGCGGCGATGTCGGCGTCGAAAACCGCAGCAAAGCATGAATGGTCGGCCACCCGCATGGCCGATCGAAGCGTGCCGACGCCGATAACCCACAAACGCTGGGTCTCGATCCCAAGTCGGGACCACGCAAACCTGACGGCACGATTGGGCAAGGAGGTTCATACAAGCGTAGTTGAGCAAACGCTGAAAAGTACACGGGGCGACTGCGTGTGGTCGGCGATTCCTAAGGTGGCCGACGTTCCTGGAGGAAGTCTATGCCTAATACCGCGCACGTCGACGTAAATCAGAAGGCCACTGCGTCGACACCCAACCCAGTTTAGTCGGCGCCGACTACTCGAGTCGTACCTGATGCCGAAATCCAAACATCCGTCGTTGAACTCTATCTTGTGGTTGCGAAGAACTAAGAAGTCTTCCCACTCTAAAGTGAAGCTGAGACCACGACCCATTGGGTGACGAAGAGGGAAGTCAGCCGAAGTCGGCGCCGAGTTATCGGGGTCGGGGCTAGGGTCCATATTGACTAAGGGGAAGCGATTTCATGATAGCCGCAGAGAGCCACGTTAGGATGGGAAAAGAAGGAAAAAAGGAGGAGCGAAACGAGATGCGGAAAATGGGGAGCGATGCCACCATCCTCAAATAAAAGGAGACGGTGGCCCACCGCATCCCCGTTCAGCGTCGCCCAAGGGTGTGGGGCCTGGCTCAGCAGGGCTCTGAGGGCGCATGCGCAAGTGGAACAGGTGGTCCGACTCCGCTTCGGCAGGGCGTTGACCTCGCGTCCATTGTCCCAGGTCGGCGAGCGGACGCAATTTCGCGAGCGCGAGGAGCGTGCATTCGCACAACACGTGTCGACTTCGTAGCGGGTAACGAACCTCGTTGTCCGCGACGCGGGTTTTTTTTTTTTTTTTTTTTTTTTTTTCGCTCGCAACGACAAATATCGCATGCGCCGATGCGAAACCATGAACGAACACGTGGCGTCGCCGCAACGGGTCGCGAAATTGTCGAGCGTCTCGAGGGGCCCCGAATTTTTCGCCCGGCCCTCGCCTGCCCGTCCGGGCAGGCCGCGATGGGTTACTAGGACTTCGCGGGCAGATGGCGCGTGTGGGCTGCCTTCGCGCGAGGGTAACTTTCCCAAGCGCGAGGTGTCGCAAGTTCGCCGACCCCACCAGGTAACGTGGGCCACTGTTCACTTTCGGAGCGGGGCTGCGGGACGGCGGTCGTGCGGTCGGCCCAGCCCTGGGGGCCAGGCTGGCAG